TGTACAATCGGGCGACTCATTCGCCGACCCGGACACACTAGGCGATTGTAGTCGTGCGACTGAAATAATCGCCCGATAATATCAAAACGTTTTGATCGTTGCGATCGAATCGGGCGACTAAATCGGCACTGCAAATCGGCGGAGACTGACTGGACACATTAGGCGATTTTCACCGGCGATTGAGTCGCCCGACTGAGTCGCCGGTGAAAATCTCCTGGTGTGTCCGGCCCTTAAGGCACAGTAAACTGCACAACAAAAGGAGGTAGGGGTAGGTAACATGAAATACAAGTAAGGCATATATGTATCACTGACACTGTGTAGCACACACGCTCATACTATCTGACTGAAAATCGCAACTTGAAAATCACGTTTAGCAATGTGATTTCAATTTCAGCCAGTAGTCGTTGCAAGTAGGGGTGGACCGGATCCAACTTTTTAAGTTCCGGCCGGAACCAGAACCAGCCGGAACTTGAAAAAAATTAACCGGAACTTAAGCTGGGAATAAACTTCACAGTTATAACTAGCCCAGTATTGCGCAAACTCACTCGGCCTGAACGAAATATTATTAGCAGGCACATCACTCGGGCGAGTAGGACAATGCTCATTGTTCTACATGTTCTCATTATGTCTCATGTTCTCATTATGCCACATGTTCACATATGTTCTCATGTTCTCATGTCTCATGTTCCCATTATATACATGTTCACATTGTCTACATGTTCACATTCTACATTGTTCTCATTGTTCTCAATGCTACAATGTTCTAATTGCAGGATGGTTGTTAGGTGTATGAATCATCTGCTTACAGTGCATAATTCTGGCATCTTATTCGTGAGCGAATTGTGTGACAAAACCTGCATGTTGCAGTATCTCTGGTTTTAGTCGATTATTTTCGACTAACAAACAGATGCCATTCCAGTGGCTCTAACTCTAAGAGTATTTTATTTTGAAAGAAAATCTCGTGAATCACCTAACATCAGTTAGGTTCAGTTCAGTTAGTTAGCCGATGTTCAAGTGTCAAACGTTTTCTGGGCAGAATAGTGTGAAGTTGTTAACACTATATTCAGTCCTCGCCAAAAGCGTCGGACCCTCGGACAAAACCGGTGATTTTTGCACGGGTCCGACAAGAAATTTGACTTTACCAGACCGTGTGTCAGGTAACATTACATCAACTAATTACGCAGAGGCTACGGGTACGTTAGTACCACACACTATTCCTAACTTTAATATCCCTGCCTATGGCTATCTTATATACGCGTGTACCAAATTAATCTATGGTGTGGGAAAGCGATAGGAAGAGATTGGCTGTTATATGATAAAAGATAAGAAAATGATGACATGCGACGTGTGTGTGTGAACTATCATGGGAAGTTTATATTACTATCACTGATTATACCTGGATCACACAACTGGACAAGGCCAAAGGCCTAGAAATGGGTGAAACCTACATTAATGACAAAGCTGGCAAGCAATGCATTGCTGATTGTACGCGTCACGAAATGGATGAAAAAATAAACGATGCTAGATTTTTCAGCTTTATCATGGACGGGTCAACAGACATAGCTGGTGATGAGCAGGAAAGCATATATATGTTAGATATGTCCACAAAGGAAAAGCAACAGAGATAGTGAATTGTTTTAATGATTTCAATTATTTTTTGCTCCAGTAACATATCATTCGTCTGGGTAAAAAATCTATTTTCTACTTGGGAAGCGAATGTCCAGTAAAGGATTTTGTCTTTTGGCGAGGACTGTATATTGTCAGCTCAGACTCTATTGACGCTCAACTACATTCAGTGACTGATCTTTTGATCTTGATGATGCTTGTAGCAGAAATGAAATTAGGATAAATGTTCCCGGTTCGGCGACTGTCCTGACGGGCTCCGGCCGGAACCGGAAACTTTGATAAATTGGGATCCTGGCTGGATCCAAGTTCTGGTGGCACGCCGCTAAGTTGTAAGCTCATGGAAATAGCAACCATGAGTGATGGGTGCGAACCTCATCAGGGAAAAATAAGTAATAGCAAATACAATTTAACGTTTTTTGTATCCCCCGCGACGAAGTCGGCGGGGATACTATGGTTTCATGTCTCGCCCAAGCCGACCGGCCGCCGCCGCCGCCGCCGCAGCTCGGTCGCGCCGCACGAGAATTTCCCATTCCGCTCATTATAATCGCCCTACGATTGACCTACGTGTGACCAAACTTGGGTATACTTACAGCATCTTGCGGGAGAAGGTGTGCCCAGAGTAGCCAAAACCAGCGTCGGCTGCCGACCTTTATCTTGCCTTTACCTTGACCTTGATCATATTTTCCTTCCGCTCTCTAACTCGGTCCCTAATTGACCTAGCGCTACCAAACTTGGTATACTTACACATCTTGGGGAGAAGGTAAGCAGCGTACCAAAACCAGGTTGCTGCGACCTTTATTTGACTTTTACCTTGATCATATTTTCCTTCCGCTCTCTAACTCGGTCCCTAATTGACCTAGCGCTACCAAACTTGGTATACTTACACATCTTGGGTAGAAGGTGAGCAGCATACCAAAACCAGGTCACTGCAACCTTTATTTGACCTTTACTTTGACCTTGATCATATTTCCCTTTTACCTTCATTTGACCTTTACCTTGACCTTAATCATATTTACTTTCCGCTCTATAACTCGGCCCCTAATTGACCTATCGCTACCAAACTTGGTATACTTACACATCTTGGGGAGAAGGTGTGTCGCGTACCAAAACCAGGTCACTACGACCTTTATTTGACCTTTACCTTGACTTTGATTATATTTCCCTTCCACTCTATAATTCGGCCATTAATTGACCTAGCGCGACCAAACTTGGTATACTTACGCATCTTAGGGAGAAGGTGTGTCGCGTACCGAAACCAGGTCACTGCAACCTTTATTTGACATTGACCTTGACCTTGACCTTTATCGTATTTCCCTTCCGCTCTATAACTCGGCCCCTAATTGACCTAGCGCAACCAAACTTCGTATACTTACACATCTTGGGGAGAACACGGGGGGATACATGTAGTTGGCGACAACTGCCCTTTCTAGTTTTAAATATAATTTGCATCCAAAAGTTATCTTTTTTACAGATAACAGTCTGCAAAATTAACCACTGGCCTGGTATCTGAGGCCAGTAAATTTTCCGTGGGGGCCAATGAAACTGGTAAATGAACAAGCCCGATGGGCCAGTGGAAAAAAATGGAGTAAATGGTCTATTAATCATATTTCAGCTTCTTTATGTGATGATCAGTCTGAGAATTTACCGAAATTCCTGATATTTTGTATGAAAATTTACCGATATTTACCGATAGGGCATCATATTCCCGATCTTAAGTAGGGGAAGTAACTAGTCAACACCATGCGTGTTTGTCGCCGCTATAGGTCGGAACAACTCCGGTTCTTGTTCGCAACTTCCGGTTTCCGGTTCTGGTTTTCAACGTGGCCTTGAACGTGTTGGCTAAGTTACTGTTCGAAATGAGCTTTCTGATTATGAATGAGCGTGATGATGATGAGTACGATGGCAGTGACAACTAGACAGGGTGCACTCACGGAGTGCATACCTCCGCCAACGACATAGGCCATACACCATACGACTCACGAACACACGAATAACCCATGATATACGCCAGCGTACTGACATGTACAAGCTCCCATGTAACATGTATGTGTTACGAGCTGGGCTCGCTGGCTTGCTGACTCGCTGGCTCGCTGGGTGATATTGATCGACCGCCAACGACATACGCCATACGCCTCGACGTGCTAATATCGATCGCGCGAACACACTAACACACGAACACACAAACACACTAACACACGAGAGCGAAAACATAACCTCCTCCAACTCTGTTGGGCGGAGGTAATGAGATGGGGGAGAGGAAAGTGGATAATTTTTTGTTCAATTTCATGAAAAAATAAATCTCTAAGAATACACCAAAGAGTTCTGTTTCTCTTTTCATAATATGATGATCATTGATTCGGGCCTGTAAAACCTAGTGTGGGTCAGTGAATTACACATTTCACAGGCTTGCTGGGCCAATGAGGGTGGAAGTTTTTCATGCAGACTGAGATAAACTTGAGTATAAGCCCCAACAATGTGTGTGCCTGTCAGTACACGTGTGGGCGAATATAAATGCAGAAGCTTAAAATTATTAACTATATTTGGTCACATTTTATATTTGATGGCATAATTTAAGGGTTAAGGCTCCTTTGAATGAAACACTGTGGCTTACTGGGCCCTAACTCATCTCTTGTCTGCCCTTCACATGTACCCACACTGCTACTCTACACTAACTGTATGAGTGTGAGTTTAATTACTTCTAAGCAGTAAACTTTGGCAATGGGCAATAAGGAGCCAAGACTTAGTGCATTTTTTATTATTACTGAATCGTTGAATCGTATCAGTCCTTTGCATAAAGGCACTTTATGGTCAGCGCCACAATTCTATGATGTACAACCAGTAAAGATTTTGAAGAGCGTCAGTATACGCTTCTGAAATATTGTTAATTTAAGGATGCCAGTTTGAGGTCTAATTTAGCTGCACTAGAACTCCAACTGCTCTCTGAATTAAAAATGTACTTGGGTGTATGCACCCCCAGAAATCTTTCCTGCTTGCGCATATCTAGTACCTACAATGGAACATGAACTGCCATCAATAAATATTTTTACACAATATATTTAGCCTAAATATGTTTTATTTATTGATTATATTATTATTGTTATGATGTTAATGATATTATTATTATATTTATTTATTTTATTGATTGATTTTATTTATTTATTCCTAAATTTTAGGCATGTGCACTAAGAATTCTTCTCTAAATCTTTTCAGCTTGCAGGATGCTCAGTTCCTGCACAGTATTGACAAAGTGGTTTTATGGAAAGGACTGATATAATTCAACCATTCAGTAATAATGAACATTGCACCAACCCTTTGTCTAGTTCACTGATGGTTAGTAGTTAGTAGGATAGTAATATTTTTGTTTTATTCCACAGGTGGGGAAAAATTCCTTATGAAGGTTGGTCAAGACACAAGCTGGCGGTCACGTGTCAAACACTGGTGGCGATACAGGTTAGCAGATTGGTGGTGATGGCAAATGTAGTCTAGAGTAATGCCTAGCACAATCCCTTCAAATGCTGTTTTATTATGTTGCTCAGTGCATTAATACATTATACACTCATTTATATAAAAGTGATTTACTAAAAAACATGTTCTTCAAAATATTTCTTCAAAATAACAAAGTATTTCTTCAAAATAACAACATTTTCAGCAATGTCCTCAAAGTTTACTGGTACGGGCACTAGAGGTGAAAGTATTCATCAGTGAACCACAGCACAGTGTCGCACAAAGTGGTGAACAATACATAGTGTACTGTTGTAGATACGTACATACAGTTTTTATTGATAGGAATCCATACGATCAACCTGCCCCCTGTGAACATGCCCCAGTTAAATGCTTGGAGAGCTGTTTATAGTAGTGTCAATGGCACAATGCAGATGTGCCCAATGGGGTTAGCCGCTAGCTTTGTCAGCAGGTGGCGCAGCTGGAGTTAGAGGTGTTACAACGATTGCGCAATCAACCGCGCTCATGTTCGAAAAGATACAGGTAGATCACGAATAGCCGACTCGTATTTCGTCATAGCGATATACGACCAAGTTAAAATGCCTTATGTAAACCCGTCCTGCAGCGTATCACTTCAGAGAGGCCCTGCGACTATAACTCAGCGACACTTTTATAGTAAGTGTAATAATCGAAATATAGCTTATAAAACATTAGTTATTAGCTCAATTTTTGACTTGAAAGGTTTGGCAGTAGTTTTCAGTTTTATTCTTTTGTGTTTATGTTTTATATTTTTTATTTTTT